TTTTTTGGGTAAATTTTTAAACGATGGGCTATACAAAAATAATAATCCTTTTCTGTTGTTAAATCTTTTTTATCCAACTTAAAATTTGAATTTAAAATTTTCAATTTTAAAATTTAAATTCTTAACATTGAATTATCTTTTAAGGTACAATTTAAATAAGAGTTAAACACGATAAATATTCACTTCATATTAAACCTAGCAAAATTGGATCTAATTTGAAAATCCGACCTAACCCATACGTTATGAGTAGGTCATGGGTTTTATGTGTTAATACAAAATCCGAAATGACCCGAACTGAAATTATCTGAATTTAAATGAGTTGGGTCACGGATAGATTAGGTTATCCGAAATAACCCGAATTGTTTTTTATTCATTTTTTTATTAGATTACTTAAAAATTAATTTCTAATTTCTAATTTTCTAATCCTAAAAGTAGAAATAAATAAAATACTCAAATCCTAATCTCTCATCAATTTCACTTTCTCTCAACTTTTCCTCTTCTCTTGCTCTCCCCTTCTTCATCTCAAACTCTCTAATCCTTCTCTTTGGTGGCACTCGAGTAAAAAATTAGATTATGTGACACATAGTGAGTTATATTATATGACATTGTAAAAAAGATCATTTTTTAAAAATAAAAAAGCAAGAATGACTATTGAAAATTAAAATCTAGTGGTTAAAATACCCTCATAACCATTAGAAGTACAAAGATAAGAATATCAAGAACATCAAGAACATCAAAGTCCGTTCTTAGTTGTTAATTTGTTCTTAGTTGTTAATTTGTTCTTAATTAATAATTTGTTCCTAATTAATAAAAATCAATTTCAATCCAATTTCTTGTACTTGGTTAGACATAGGATTCGCCTTTTAAATTTTAATATTAAATAAAACTATATTTTTTGTATAATATTCTCCTAAATATTAAATAAAACTGTATTTTTTGTATAATACTCTTATAAATATTGAATAGGCACTAGATATTAATATATATATATTGGATTTGTCTTTCGAACTCTAATCCTTCATGTCTCTTTTTTTAATGAAAATTAATACCTCTATGAAATTATGAATTCTAAATATTGTATAAGTATTTTATATTTGACATATATTTTAGTTTCACCTATATAATCACTAATATTTTCCTTTTCTTTTCTTAAGATTGGAAAAAAATTGAATTATGAAATGGAAATTATCGTTTAACTAAATAGTTAATTAATAATAAAGTTTTTTAACTAAATATTTAATTA